ATGAGACCAATCACAGATGCACCTGCTGCATTCCACAGCAGCAGATAATAATTGTTTACATGTTGTTCCTGAGGCCTCCCCCAGCTTCTCAGGAGGAAAAATCCTAAGGAAAGGATTTTTCATAAAAGATGTCTGTAACATGTTGGAGCTGGAAGCACCCCAGTGGTGTGAGTGGCCCCAGACACCCCCTGCCCTCTGTGGCCCCACTGATCCTTGCCCATCAGGCTCAGCCCTGCAGCAGGTGCCTCCAGGTTGCTCTGGCTCTGCCCACATCCATCAATAATGCAGGAGAACCAGATCCCCAGGTAACCCCATCCCTGCCCTGGCCAGACTGCAGCTCAGGGGCGCTGCTGCCACTCTGCCCATGGAGCAGGTGAGTGCTGGGCTGGGGGACAGCCCAGCTTGGCTTGCAGGGACCTCCCTGGGGTGTCCTCCAGCTCCTGCTGCTGCTCAGTGTGTGGCTGCTTCCCCTCTGTGCCTGCAGGCTGAGCAGGATGTCAGCGTGAGAGCAGCCCTGGGACTGCAGCAGGCAGCAGGTAGAGCTCAGGGCACCCCAGAGCCCTCACCTGGGCACCAGGGAACAGGGGACGAGCTGGCACCACGCCTGTGGTGGCACTGGGACACAGGGGAACAAGGGACAGGCTGGCATCCTGGCTGTGGTGGCACTGGGACACCAGGGAACAAGGGGACACAACTGGCACCACAGTTGGGACCAAGCTGGTGTGGGCAGTGCTGACAGGACAGGGTGTCCTCCCCATCCTGGTGGCTCTGGGTTATACCAGGAGGGCTCAGGAATGAGGTGAAGCTCTGGGATGTGGGAGGGGAAGGAAACCCTGGGATGTGGGAGGGGAAGCCCTGGGATGTGGGAGGTGAAGGGAACCCTGGGATGTGGCAGGGGAAGCCCTGGGATGTGGCTCCACGTTCAGGGGTGTCAGGACAGGGCTGGGACAGGGGTGTGACCCCCACACCACCCCACACTCGGTGTTTGCAGGGCCAGGACAAGGATGCCTGGATGGCAGCAAGGATCCCCTGCAGCTCCTGCTGGCTGGGAAGGAGCTCCAGGTGAGAGCTGCAGGCAGGGACAGCCGGGGTTTGAGGGTCCCTGGGCACCAGGAGGGAGCAGGGCTCTGTGCCACCCCCTGGGACACCCCTGCTGGGAGCTGAGGCCTGGGCTGACCCTGCCCTGCCCCCCTATGGGCCCCTCCCTTGCAGGCACTCCTGGGGAAGGGAGGGGGTCTCTCCTCAGCCCTGCCCGTGCCAGGCCCTCTGTGCCACCCCTGCCACACCCAGCGTGCCCAGTCCCTCCTCTGCCCTGCCCTGTCGTGCTGGGATAAGGGAAAGCTGAACATCATCCCTCTCCCTGCACCAGCAGAGCTCCCTGACTGTCGATGGGGTTTTCCACATGGATGCAGGACAGGTACCTGAGCCCCAAGTCCTTCCCTGTGCCCCAACCCCAGCCACATGGGCCAGGGACATCTGCACCATG